CTCGTTGCTTCTGCACTCTGGCTCGGGCGAGGTCCCCCGACTATGCCGCTCGCTGTGTTCGCGGTTCTCGTGGCATCCGCGGGCTGAGCCCTCCCCCTCGCGTTCAGTCTGTCGGTTTCCCAGGGCATGGGTCCGCTCTGTTAGTTGCGAGGTCCTGTCTACCACAGTGTTGGTCACATAGTCCGTGTCATGCCCTCTGGGCTCGTCAGGGACCTCCGCCTCGAAGCCTTCTGTAATTCGCAGCAGCTGCTCCTCTTCGATGTGATCCTCAAGATCTGCGAAGGGGTCCGAGTCCGCATCTGACCATCCTGGATTCGCTCGCACCCTTGTCGAACCTGGGAGGCCAACCCCATGGTTCACATCTGACTCCTTTCCGCCCATCCTTACACAGACTGCGCCCTCGGCGCCTGGGTGAGCCCCCGCGGGGAACCCCGCCCAGCCAGCCTCGACCGGCGCCAGCGCCTCCCACCGTGCGTTGTCCAGCGCCAGCTCGAAGTCCTGAGGCGGTGTGCGCTGCTCAAGCTCCTCCTGGCCTCCTCCTCGCCGCTGCTGCCCGCGCCTGCGCTGCTGCCTCCTCCCTCACTCTCCTCCTCGTCCCCTTGCTGCCTGGGCATGGCTGCTTCTTGGGTCGGGGAGGATGAGGGAAGGGCTGGGGCACGCGCAGCGAGCGGGTCCTCGTCTCCTGGGCCTCGGCGTAGAGCGTGAACTTCAGCCCGATGCGCGGCTTCCACGGCACGTCGTAGACCGCCCCCACGCCCTTGATCAGCTTCTGCCCTTGCTCGTTCACCAGGGCGTAGTCTATCATCGACTCGTGCTCCCCCATCTGGCAGGTGAAGTCGCCGTCTGGCAGCGAGACGACGGCTGACGCCCCCATAGCTGCTGGCCAGCCTGAGTCCCACATCTCCGTCGGCGCCTTGTTGAAGTCGCCGCAGACGATCCACGCGCCGCTCAGCCCCTTCAAGAACGAGGCGAGGGCCGTCAGCTTGCGGGCGTTGATGCCCTCGCGCAGCGCCTTGCCAACGTCCAGGTAGAGGCTGATCACCGTGGTTGTCGCCCCCTTCAAGTGCCACGTGACTGGTGTCCAGTCGCACAGGTCCAGGTCGGCCTTCCACTCCCCGCTCACGTCGGTCGTCGCCTTCGCGACTGTGGTCTGCCTGGCCTGGCACCGAAGACTCGAGGTCCGCAGATGCCCCCTCATGGCAACCGCCGCCCCTCCGCATGCGCCCCTCTCGGAGCGCGAGCTGGGTCTCGCCGCCGCGAAGCACGCCTTGTACCCCAATTTCACAAGTTCGCACTCCACGGAATTTAATTCGAGCGGTCTACGTGCGTCTCCTGGAACGCGTAGGCGTCGTACCCCTGGCCAATCTTCTGCTTGGCCATCCACAGCCTGGCCGTGGGTCCCCAGCTGGTGAGGCTCGCGCAGAACAGTGCGCGCTCGCGGGGCTCGGCGGCGCCGCCTCCTTTGCGCCGAGCCCCGCGCGCCTGTCCTCAAGCCGCGGCTGCCCCCCCTGGGCTGCCTGCGCCTGTCTGCTCCCTCAGCTGTCTGAGGTACTCCTCTGCCTCTGCGTCTCCTCCTCCCGCAGCCGGTGGCGACCCAGCCGTTGGTGTCGTGGCCGCAGTGGGGGAGGCTGCTGGCTGCTGGGGCTCGGCAGCAGGCGTCGCTTGCTGCGCGGGCTCCGCTGCGCCTCCTCCCTCGGCCTTCCTCTTCTTCGCCGCCTGGTGGATCGCGGCCTGCTGCTCCGCCGCCTTCAGCTTCGCCGCCGCCAGGTGCTCCTCCAGCTGCGTCGAGAAGGTCTGGGCGTTCTCCTTCATCTGGGCCACGACCGTTTTCTTCACCTCTTCCACTTGCTTGCGGCCCTCCTCGTCCAGGTCGGCGGCGGTCAAGTTCAGCTCGCGCTCTATGTCCGCTGCAAGCTGGCCCGCTGCCAGCTCCTCCACCTGGCCGCTGACCAGCTGCTCCAGGACGCCTTTCGGAGAGTCGCGGCCCTCCGCCTGGATGGCCTCGAGCTCCTTCTCCGCCTTGAGCACCGCCGCCGCCTTCACGTCTAGCTTGGCCCTCGCCTCCTGGGCGACTGCGTCCGCTCTCCTCTTGGCCGCGAACGCCGTCGAGTACGCCTGGTTGGCCTCCTGCAGGGCCTTGGCCGCGATGCCTAGCCTCTGCGCCCTTGACTTGGGCGGAGGCTCTGGCACCGCGGCCTTGATCGCAGCTGCCGCTCCCTGCAGGGTCCTCGAGATGGCCTCGCGATTGGACAAGTTGAGGTCCCCCAGCGTGTCCATGAGCAGCTTCGGGGCGTGCGAGACCTTGTCCGCGCCCTTCGGCACGCTCTTGGTGCTGCCCTGCTGCTGCTGCGGCCCCCTGCTGCTGTTGGCGCTTGTGCTGCTGCTGCTGCCGCTGCCTCCCCAGTCCGACTTCAGCGTCTTGGGCTTCGGCAGGGCGGCTCTGCATTTGCACTGGTAGTTCATCGCTTCCAGGCGTGTGCTCCACCACCACTCGCCACAGGCCTTGCACACCACGTAGGCCTTGTCGGCGCCCGCCTCGGCCCCGCCCTTGACCATCTTCGGCGCCGCACTGCCGTGGTGCGCGTCCAGGCGCTGGGCGTCCTGCAGCTGCCGCAGCCGCCTCCTCGCGCCTGCCCGCAGGCGCCGCTCCCTGCGGTGCCAGGCGGGGGAGCGCGACCGCGCACGGCGCCCCTCCGTGGGGCTGGGGGCTATGGCTTCGCGGGCGCGCGCCCGCCGCGGGCAAAATGCCTGCGTCCCGCGCCGCGCTGCCAAGCCACCTGGAGGAGGAGGGGGAGGAAAAGGAGGAGGAGGTGGAGGAGGAGGAGAACCAGTAGAAACCCAAGACGCATCAACGAGCTGCAATACACCCTCCCTCCCAGTTCCCTCTTGATAGGTCTCTACAATAAGTTATGCTTAGTGCGGGAAGTGCCCAATTTCAAGAAAACCGTCTGAGAATCCTCCCTCGTGCCAGAGCACCATTCCCGGGACCTCAACACAGCGTTTCAACCTGAATGTTGCGCCCTGACCATCCTCAATCAGGCCAAAACACCATTCCTGGGACCTCAGCACCGCTAATCAACGTGACTGCTGCGTGACAATCCTCAAGCACGCCAGAACACCACACCTGGGACCGTAGCACCGCAGACCAACGTGACTGCTGCGCCCACACAATCCTCAACCGTGCCCTCGGACCTCTCCCGTACGAACCCCTGAAGCTCTTCACGACTTTCAAAACGAAAGTGCGCTGCGCTAAAGCGAGGGCCAACTTTAGAAAACAAGCCGCCCTCCATCCGTTAAAATGCTGCAAGTGTCAAGGAAGAACATGCGCGGCGCGACGGCGAGAGTCACATTTGAAAAGGATCCACCCACCATCCGTGAAGCTGCTGTAAATTTTTATACCGCATATGCGCGGCGCTAAAGCGAGAACATGTTGTTGAAGACGGCCCGCCCTCCATCTGTGAAACTGCTGCAAACAATTAACACAAATGTGCGCGGCAATACATCGAAAGTCACACGTTGGAAAACGACCCGCCCTCCATCCGCGAAATGATTGAAACTTCCAAGACGCGTGCGCGCGGCGCTAAAGCCAGGCCACGCTTTGGAAACAGCTAGCCCCCCATCTTC